GTCCTCCTCCCCCTTTCAAATACAAGTTGAGCAATTGTGTAACCTCTTAAGTCTTCACAGTTTATGCAGGAGCTTAAGGGTATATTTTTTGAAGCCTGGTCTTCCCTCCTGAATTATTTGGGAGGGTCAGTCTTCCTGGTCTCCATTTCTCTCCTCTCTGCATACTCCCCTTTAGTGTCCCGTCTACAGGGTCAAACAATAATGTGGATTTTCCTCTAAGAAGTTAGGACAGAAGTAATAAGATAGCTGATTTTATATTTTTGGTAGCAAGTATAAAACAGCATTATCTCAAAACCTGGAGCAAAAGATTGTTGCATGTAAAATGCTAAAAAAAAAAAAAAAAAAAAAAAAAACCCAAAAAAAAAACCTTACTGTTTATGAGAGATGCTGAGAAAGAAAGCGTTGGGTGAGTTGGTGAGAAGTGGTCTGGATGTTGGGTAGCAGGGAGGAAGGAGAAGACAGAGAAATTCGTGAGAGTATATTTTAACCAGAGGGTTACATGGAGCATAGGCTCTGCTGATCTCTACATTTTCAGAGTTCTGACCAAGGAGAGGTGGGTGGGCCCAGGACGGAGCAGGAGGGATTTAGGCTGGGCATACAGACTGTCAGGGTGCTAAATAGGGGCCAGGGTCACAGTAGCCTTGGGATTTAGTTCAGCTGCCAGTGACAGGAACACCCAAAATAACAGGCTTAACCAAGACAAGATCACATGGAAGACCTGGAGGCGGGCAGTCCAGGGCTGGGATGTTGACCCCGACTGTTGTAAGGGACCCAGGCTATTTCATGCCTTGTGCTCCCCTAGCATGTGGCTTCCTCCTCATGGTCCAGGATGGTGTTGCAGCTCCAGCCACCAAGTCTCAGCTGAGAAATCCCATCAACACTGCAATTGACCCTTCCTTGGCCAGAACTTAGTCATCCACATCTCCCTGTGAGAGAGATTGAAGATGTCATCCGTTAGCTATGTGTCAACATGCCCAGCTAAAATAGGGCTTCAAATAATTGGAGAGAGAAGAGGAGGACCTTCATAACTAAGAAAAGTCATAGAGGCTTCTCGTCTTGGGGTATTTGTTCACTTGGTGAGCACAGAGTGCCTAATATATTCAGGCATTGCTGGAGGGCAGCTGGGAAGAAGGAACTCGGGTTTTTGCTCTTGTGAAACTTAATATCTAGTGGGAACAAGCAGACAATAAATGAACAGTAAATGAGGCCAAGTTGACAATCTACATTCTACACTCAAGTCTTTCCAGTGAGCTGTCTTCAGAAGCACCTGTCCATAATTAATGCTCGGAGCAGACAGTGTCAAACATCACTGCTAACTCCTGCGGGCATCTCTGGCAGCCAGCATCTGCCTCTCTGATATGAATTCAGCTTATCCAACCCTCCCGAGTGTCTACACTATGAAAAGAACAATGATGGGAAGAGGAGGGAGAAGTAAACAATTAGTAAGCCAGAGCCCCACCTTGAAAGTGGCCCCTGAGTCATTCTTGGCCAGTGCCTTCATGGCCCAACATGCCCAGAAAGACTCGGGACAAGAATCCAGCTGTGAAATCCTGTTTTCTTTTTCTTTGGTGAAGGATCTGGGGCTCTCTCCCTGCTAAGGGACAGAGCAGTGTGATAAGGATAGCTTCGTGGCTCCTTAGGGCTTTTGAGGCCATGTAGGGGAAATTGGGAGAACACAAGGACACAGCCTTTTCCTGCTCCCATGACCTTCAGCCAGCCGTCCCTGAGCCTGGTTTTGCTGGGAACCCGGCAGGTGTCCAAGTTCAGTTTTAATGTCGTTAAGTGGGTGTGGTTTCTAAATTAAACCAGGAGCCAGTGTTGCCCACCCAGACCTCCTGCACTGACCCCGGGGCCATGACCTAGATCAGAGTCTCCATCTATCTGAGGTGAAAGACCAGTGGTCTGTTTTGTTTTAAAGTTTCAACTTCCAATCTGTCTTAAAAATAAAATATTAGAAAAACGAAATTAAAAAGACATAAAACAATAAACTTAGACGTCTATTATTAGACTCAAGAAACATAAAATTACGCTGTCCAGTTGCTCTAAATGTTTCTAAAGGCTGACTCCATTCCTGGCCTGGAGTTTGCCAGCTGGGGGCTGCTGTCCTTCCTGGTTTCGGTTCCCAGGACAGAACTGAGGGAGGACAGGGAAGCTCCCCTGGGGCCTCATGCCCGCACATCCCTCTCTGGCGCCCCTGCCCAGCTCCCCATGTTTTTAACTGCTACCTGAGTAGACTGATAAAAGGAACAGGTTGACCAGCTCTCCTATCACAATCCCCATATGCAGGTGAAATTTTTACTACACACTTACAGCCAGAGAAATGAAAGGTCACAGCTAATTGTAATCATTATCCAGGTTCCCCTACCTGGACCGGGCTTTGGGCATATACTGGTTTGATCAGCAGAGCAGCCAACCGTAAGGCGGGCAGTCATCGCCAGCTGGCCTGGCAGGCGTGGGCAGGGTGCGAGGTCACTGTTGACACTGTGTTGCAGTTCTCCAAGGAGAGGCAAGTCATGGACAGAACCCCCGAGAGGCTGAAGAAGGAGCTGGAGGAGGAGCTGCTGCTGAGCAGCGAGGACCTGCGCAGCCACGCCTGGTACCACGGCCGCATCCCCCGACAGGTACCTGCCTCCTCCCTGCCAGCACACACCCACTGTTCCCAGACACCGCCCAAATCGATGGCCCTGCGGGATCATGCACCAAGGCCATGTGGGAGTGAGTCCCAGTTTAGCCAAAAACAAGTACTATAATGTGGCCTACGGTAACGTAACTTAGGCCTACTTCTAAGGACACCTTGGAAAAAGCTAAGGTCAGAAAACCAAAGTACACTTCCACCCGCCCAGTAAGTGGACAAGTAAAGAGCAGGTGTTCTGTGGTCTGCAAACACAGAGCAGGCAGAAGGCAGCCGCCGCAGGGTGGTACCTGAGAGGTACAAGGCCGGGCTGTGGTTCGGCTGATTGAACTATTGGCTGGCTGCCTGCAGCCTCATGCCCTTTGGAGCCTGCTTCCTTTCTAAGGCAGTGGCTTAATTTCAGATAAGGAGAGGGATATCATTGAGACAGGTGGCACAGAGCAAGAGCAACATTGTCCCCTGTGCCCTGGTGGGGCCAGCAGTCCGCTCCCCGACCCCTGGCCCAGAGATGGGGAAAAAGAGGAATCCTATCGGTGACCTCAGATTCTGGCCTAGAATGTACTTTGTGTGATTGTTGTTTGAGTGATAGCCATAAATAATGGGGTTTTGTTTGTTTAATAATAATAGAAGTTGAAAAATAAATTAAGTTCAGAATTCAGATGCAGAATTTTCCTTGGGCTTTTATTATACCCTGACCTGGCCAGTCATTTATCCAGGACAACACTATAGGAAAGGGGGGAGAGAGGGGAGGACATCATGTCATGAATTTTTTCTTTTTTAATGTAGCAGATTTCTCAACATTATCAAAGAAATAATCCTTATTCTAACTTTTTCTTTTTAAAAAAATTTTTTTAATTTGATTATAAAAAATACAGGGAGCCAAAAAGGAAGAAAATTACACTCTTACCCGTAATCCTCCCTCCTGGAGATAACCACTGTGACCAGTTTGATATAAACCCTCCCAGGCTTTTCTAAATCACGTATGAGATCATACCACATACACTTTTTGGAAGCCCACTTTCTCCATTTAATGACATACCCTGGGACTCTTCTCCAGCTATCAGATATTCTTCTGTGCCGTTCTGTGTTGTCTGTCTGTCCTTTGTACGCATGCACCGTTATCAGCCATGCTGACCAGCATCCTTCAAGAAAACTACTATGTTCACAATTATAATTATTTCCTCAGGCTCAATTCCAAGAAATGGAATTTTTCGGTGAAAAGAAATATTTTTAAGGCAAAGATGCAATTTTGGAGTAACCATACTGTTCTAAGCTAACTGATCAAATGTTGGAATGGCCTGGAAAAATTGTCAAAGTTTATAAAATCTATGACCGTCACCGCCATCCTTTTCTTTATCATGATCATAAAATTCGTCCTGCACTTGCCATGAGTGTAAATTTTCAGCTCTAAATCACTCCAGGTTATATAACTGAACACTGTAACAATAATAATGACAGTTATAGCTAACACTTTACTCCTTTAAATCTTTACAGCTGCTCTATAGATCACATTATCCCTCTCTTACAGATCATGTAACTGAGCCACAGAGAGATTATGTAACTTGTCCGAAGCCACACAGCAGAGCCAGATGCAAGCCCACGCGGCCTGGCTATGGGAATAATCATGCTGCACCACAGTTTACATTCTCCTTTTACTAGACACATCAGCATCCTCAGAGTTAATGATTTTTGATGAACTCTGTGTTTCTCTATACTTGTGCTTTGCATATATTATGTATGCAAATGCACAACCCTCCCGCTTACTTGGTGAGATTGGGATCTTGGCCCAGCTTTGTCCCAGCGAGGAATCAGTATGCTCAGAATTGTTGGCAGGGGGGGATCATGCCCATCACACACAAACTGTCTTATTTCTTATTTTCTTGAGGTATGCAAAAATGCCCTCTTACGACACTCTCCTGACCACTCATCCCCTTATCCCCTCCCAAGCAATTCTTACCTCCTGGTTTACTTTTTCCTTCACTTTACAGCATCTGACATACCTTACCCGTTGTCTGTTCATCCTCACTGAAATAGAAGCTCTCCACTCAGAATTCAAGCTCCCTGCAGTGGGGACTCCAGTCTCCGTCATTCGCTGCTATAGATCCAGTGCCTACAGCGGCGCTTGGCACAGACTGGGTGGCCAGCAAGTGGTACTTAATGAATGAGCGGGTCTTCTAAGAATTAGACATTTGAAAAAGTCAAGAGACAACTGAGGAAGCAGAGACAAAATGGCATTGTCTTCTGCTGGCCCAAAGAAGAGGGGGAGAAACACAGCTTGTGAAAGGAATGGCAGCTTGCCTTTCCTGCCGCTCACTCACCGTTTTGTCCCCAAGGTGTCAGAAAACCTCATGCAGCGAGACGGTGACTTCCTGGTCCGAGACTCTCTGTCCAGCCCCGGAAACTTCGTGCTGACCTGTCAGTGGAAGAACCTCGCTCAGCACTTCAAGATCCAGCGGACGGTGCTTCGGCTCAGCGAGGCCTACAGCCGCGTGCAGTACCAGTTCGAGACCGAGAGCTTCGACTCCATCCCCGGCCTGGTGCGCTGCTACGTGGGCAACCGCCGGCCCATCTCCCAGCAGAGCGGGGCCATCATCTTCCAGCCCATCAACAGGACGGTGCCCCTGCGGTGTCTGGAGGAGCGCTACGGCACCTCCCCTGGCCTGGCCCGCGAGGGCAGCCTCGTGGAGGGAAGGCCAGACGTGGCCAAGAGGCTGAGCCTCACCACGGGCAGTGTCCAGGCCCGGGAGCCGAGCTTGCCCAGAGGAAACCTCCTCAGGTGGGTCAGGGCCCCCTTGGGTGGGGTCGGGACCACGGAGGGGCGCTCTGGACGAGTCCAGGCTTAGTTAGGCAGACAAGGAGCTCACCCTGGGATAGGAACAATAAAAGACGTTAATCAGACGCCAAGTGTTACTGGAATAGCTGTCACGAGGCAGTGCTTGATCAGTTCCCAGTGGAGTTGGTGCCAAAGATAAATGATGCGGTTGCTGAGGCAGGGGCTTGGTCAGGAGAGATTTTGTGGAGGAGGTAGGCGTCCAGCTGGTCTGAAAGCTAGGGCACATTTGAATAGATGCTGCAAAGGGGAGTGTTCCGGGGGGGCTCAGCGTGAGCATAAGGGTAGAGCTAGAGAGGGCAAGAGTTGCTTGGAGGGAGTAAGTGATGGGGCTAGAGCAAGGGGTCCATGAAGTGGGGGGGCAGGGCAGGTTTAGGGATGGCCCTGGCCAGATTGTGGAGGACCTAGTCCCAGGTAAGGGGTTCGAGGGAGCCTCAAAGACACGCATGGTGAACAAGATGTCCTAAGAATGGAACCAAACAGTGATGTGCAAGAGGGGTGAGGAGAGAGAAGAGCTGGGGGACCTGAAGAGCTGAGGTTAATGAGGTGTGGAGGTTCAGGCTCTGCGGCAGAGTAGAGGGAGAGTCGGGAGGTGCAGTAGCCAGGCTTCCCAGGATGGGGAAGGTGGAGAAGGGCAACGTGTTTTATTCTACTTACGGGTTTTCTTTCTGGACCAGGAGGACATGTCATATACACGAATTTCTAGAATGCAAAAATTCAGAAGTAAAATACAGGATTCTGAAAAAAAAAAAAAAAAAAAAAA